CCCCAAAACCCCAAAACCCCAAAACCCCAAAACCCCAAAACCCCGAATTGGGGTGTTAGTATGAAAAATATAATATTAGAATAATAAATAGGTAAGCTTGCTTGTAAACTCCTTTATAGCTGACCGCAAATGGCATCAGGATTAAACTTAGACATGGACCCTATCAAACTAGACGACGAAAATAGAGACCTACTGGAGCAACTCCATGAACAAAATAAAATAGTTAAGTTTGATTGGGAAAACAGATGGCTGAAGGGAGAAGAATACTTTTACATCTTAGCAAATATGGAAAATTACTCAAAGAATTTGGGCATCGAGAAGTTCGGCGTCAAGAAACATCCAGAAAATATATATATAGAGCCTATAAACGGCCTGCTGTATTTCGTTAAGGGAAATTCTATTGGATCAGAGTTTGGATTTCCTAGGTTAGGTATTAAGAAGAGATATAAGTGGAAAAAGATGAATTTTACCACAGATCTACCTAAAAGAGACCCGTTGGTTAGTTACATCGTAGCAAGTGCAGTCAAATGAGAAAAATTCTTCCCAGGGTCCTCTAAGGATGGTCCTTGCTATAGAATGCATGCTGTTATACTGAAAAAGAGAAAGACACCTGTCTATCCTGGGTGACATGTGAATCCGAAGTGATATTCATATATTTTATGCCATGTCAGGAAAGTAAAATTCAGAAAAGGGGCTGGTGACGAGCAATCAGAAGCAGTAAACAATGAGGTCGGAACTGAGAATAATAACCATGAAGAGACCAAGGTATCAAAAACTGGCAATAAAAGAGGAAGACCCAGAAAAAATCCAATTTCACATAAGGATGAAAATCCTCCTCAGAAAGCAAAGAGAGGGAGAAAACCTAAGAAGCTGTATGATATCATTCCTGAAGAACACAAAGAAATTGACTCTCACGAATTTTCGGATAATCCAATAGATCATGAGCAGGAATCATCTCCTATTAGAGTAGTCGAAAGGAACATGAAATTACAGGACAGTCACACCTTCTCTTTCGATAGCTTAGCAAATTTAACAAAGCAGAATGATAACTACAATACCAATAATTTGCCATTTTATCCTCGGAAGCAGAGTCTAAATAATCCATTTGATAAATTTTGAGCAGATATTCCATCTAGCATGAATCTTTTAAACGAGCCAGGAAGATCCAGAAGGGTTTCTTCAGCATACTCTCCGTATAACATCCCTGGAAACTTTCCAAGTAGCATTGTCTCTCCCAGTCCAATCCGGGGAAATTACATGGCTGATTTCAAATCAGGGAATTTCACCATGAGAAAAATGAGTACAAACCAAAATGGAGAGGATGAAGCTCAGAAACAAATCAATGACATTATTTCCAAATCTTTCAAAGACTGGAACAACAAGCCTGGTCGCAAAGAAACAGAAGATATTGATTTCTCTGGGCAAGATAATCCCATACTAAATTTATTAACAAATGGAGGGAATAATGGAAATGAGCAGAAATCGTCCCCGTTTAATGTAGCTTCTGGCTCAATCTTGTCTCCTGATTATAAACCTCGCTCCCTATCGATCAACTCATGTGGGTGGTCACTTCCGCCTCACACTCAGCTTCAAAGGAAAAACCAGAAAAGTGGGTGGGATTTGAGCAAAAGACTTGACAGTCCAGGTTTCGGAAATAATGACACAAAGAGAAAGATAGACAATTCAATAATCGCAGTCTCTTCTTTTGGAAAGTTGGGCTTGTCAAAATCTGCAATGCCAAGGAAAAATACGATGCTAGAACCTCCAAAAACTCATAATATGACTTCAAGTCCGCTAACTTTCCCCACACCTAGTGCTGCTTTCAAGCCATTTAAAAAGAGATCATACTCAGTTGCGGATTCTTCTTCTCAAAACATCCCAGAATCAGACGAATTGAAGAAAAGGGACATGAAGGCTGAAAGAAAAATGGAGGAAGGAGTCCAGTATAAGAAGCAAAGCCTGCCTTTGTAAAGCAGATGTATTCTCTCATATTTCATAACAAATGAGTTATTAAAAATAATATTTTCTAGTCAACTCTCTTCAATTCAAATGTTTATAGCCGGGGTTTTGGGGTTTTGGGGTTTTGGGGTTTTGGGGTTTTGGGG